CCACTTTGTGCTTTATAGAAAATCTGTGTAAAATAAATCAATCCAATTTTACAGAAATGCTAAATAAAGTCAATTACTTGAAAGCAAATTGACTTCTGCACTGAAAAAATAGCTAATGAATGAATTCTGTTTTGGGGATCTATGGCTAAAAGCACTACATTTCATGACACCCATGTACAACTATACACAATTACACACTAATTGTTACAGTTATTACAAACTTTCTTTTCTGATTTGCTAAGTTTAATTTTGATGATAAATACAAATATATTTGATTACAAAAAAATGGAACCGATTTATTTAAAGGTTTTTGGGACAAATGAGTATGTTAACAGTTCAGCAAACTAACTGCATGCATCTATAAAGAACATTTTAATAATTTCTGCTTTACAGTGATTTTATTATTTATTCACATTGATGATATATGCCTGTTTTTGTCAGAAATGTGAGTATGCTTCTTAGCTGCAGAGCAGAAGAGATGGTTTTGTCCATATGCAGATAGAAAGAAACGATCATTGCATTAAAGTGTAATTACAACAGCAATAATCTGATAGCTCTCTGTGTAGTCATATTGACCCCTCACCTGGAAACACTTTCCTATCTCAAAATTCCTTTACATATATTTCCAGTTATTAAGACACCACAGGCTGATGAACAAGCACATTAACCATTGCAGCACCAAACAAGCAGCTATCTTCTAAAAAAAAACATTCCAGGGTGAGCTGCAGAGCAGATTAAATCAATTAAAGATTTATTCAAAAGTAAAAGGACAGCCTGCTATTAGGGAGGATGTAATTAAAAAGACAATCTATGAAAGTTGATGTATTTAGCATTTATCAAATGCAAATTCTGATTCTGAATGCAAAAACATGTACTGCCTCTTCTTTCCTCACAACTCATTCACAATATATGTGCACATAAATCTTTTACTATGCATAATATAGTAGGCAAAAGTGGCAACAAAACCCATAGGGTAAAGAGGAAGAGCTGAAACTCTTGTTTACTGTCTTTTCCCTCCTACACAGGCAAAAAGCCCAGGCTATTTCAGGATACCAGGTGAATCATGATAATACATTATACAAGAGATCTATCACTATTTAATGAAATTACTGGTGAGCAAGAAAAATGCACAGTTATAAGACCACACATTTTTTCATTTTTTTATTACTTGGTAGTTCGTGTGTATTGTTACCAGGGCAGGGGTTATGAAATTACACTCATGGTGGTGTGTTGTACATGCTGCTTATCAAATGATTCAGTTATAAGTTGTACAAAAGAAAAAGAAAATATTCATGTTAAAAGGTATTCACAGACAGACCAAGAGAGTATATGCTCAGCTCTGCTAAATGTTTATTTTATAATGCAAGGTAAATTAAACTGACTATATGAGCATAATGATAATATGTGAAATATGGTATTACATCAAATTAGGAGTACACCATGTACACAGCTAAGGGTGTCCAGAAATCAAGTGTGTATCTGTGTGAATACCCATGGCTATACTAGCAAGTGTAAACACATTCAATATATATGCACATACAATACCTATGCATCAGGTATAATACACAATGTAGGTATACGCATAAGGTGAAGACTAGAAAGTCTAACTATGTGCAATATATATATATATATACCCAATCACCCAATCCTTATATGCCGTGCTGTAATGAATAAATGATCCATTTATGATTATGCAGAACCATTAGCACAAAGCTATGCATTGTGAAGAGGACTAAAGTCTCAGGTGAAGACTACTGGAGATTAAAAAACAGACACCTTTATCAAGATTTTTATCAAGATGTATTTTTTTCACATGGCTACAAAAGCAAACACAGAATCACACTTAAAACAGCAAAAATTCTATCAGACAGGCAAAAAACATTTTTAATTTCATGTTCTAACAGCGCACTACACATAGGACATTCATTCTCTCTGTTTAAAATATTATTCAATTTAACATAGAGCTATTCAAGTTTAAGGGGGAAAAAAATACATTTCCATATCATTCAAAATAATGCTTTGCTTGTCTTTTTTAAAACTACTAATAAGCAAACCTTCCCCTGTGACTGCAGCAAGTACTCCACATCTATGAAACCCACAGGCATGACATATATTAGCTAGCAAAATGAAACCCAATGCAATGTGTGTTATCATTGAATGTATAGTTAGCTCTACAAGCCTGAGTCTGAAATACATGGTTATCAGATAAGAGCACGCAGTTGTACATGCATCAGAGGTACTGAGATGTTAGCAGCCTCGCATCTTAACCTCACAACCTTAGACAATTCCAGCTTCGGGTACCAACAATCTGTGCTATCCTGCTTCCTAACAGCACTGCTACCCTATCTTAAAAAAATAGCAGCATGAAGTTTCTCATTCCTAGACAGCAAACAAGCAGAACTGCCATAGCACAGATTGAAACAGCTATAGAAAAACAATGGTTAAAGTCCGACGACAAGCAGAAGAGCTGAACTAGCAAAACAGAAAGAGAGAGGCAGAGAGAGCAAAGCAAGAAGAGCTTACCTGCTGCAAGTACATAAAAGTCAAGGCACAAGAGAGCTGTGGACACATGCCCACATTCGGCAGTGCCACGCAGGTTGCACCCGTCAGAGGATGCTGCATGGTGTTGCTCTGGAGTCGACGTAGAACAAGTGAAGGGGCTAGCATGCAAGCACGTTTGTCCTGTCTTGTCAGCAGGTTTTAAATCGTCTTTTAGCTGTGGTTATTCTTATAGTTGAAAAGTCCTTCTTCCCCCTTAGCTTTCCTACTGCTGAAAATGCACGTTCATTTATCAGCTAAGGCAACTAGGCAAATTAAAAGTGAAACCGCTTAAAGTGAATAGGATACAAAAACAAGGGATTTAACCAAAGCCTTGCAGCTTAATAAGGAGCCAGCGTAACTTCCTCAATGACGGTGAAGAGAGGGAGCTCGGCGTTTCCCCAACAGGAGCTTGCTGACTAGCACACAGATTGACTCACTGAAGCTCAGTCGGCTGGTGTTGATGCTGCACGGCTTCTCATTTGTCAAATGGGTCCTAGGGCAGAGGCTTTACCACTCACAAAATTCAAATACTGCATTTTTAAAATCCCCCTGGGAGGGTGGAGAGAAACAGTGAGAGATCGAGTGAGCTAGTGAGAAGGAGAGAGAGAGAGAGAGAGAGAGAGAGAGAGAGAGAGAGAGAGAGAGAGAGAGAGAGAGAGAGAGAGAAAGCGATTGAACGAGAAAGCTGCATCACAGACAAGCGTGAGATTTGGGCAATTAATGTCACTGCCCAGCTGGGACCCAGTGTCTGTTACAATTTCTTTTGCATTGCCGTTGGTCAGCAGACTCAGCACCAAATAATGTTTTCAGCTTTTTTTTTTTTTTTTAAACCTTGCCAGGAGCTATTCATGGAGATACGAAGAAAATTCTATCTAATAGCCAGTGATCCTGATTTGTATAGCCTTATTACATTCTCTATCCATATTTCTGACATTTTACATTTTGCTTGATTCGTTTAGGATTTCCCTATGACTCATGCAGCAGTGTAAAGTTAGCAACTCACTCTGCAGAGGTGTTTTGTTTTTTTTTAAGGCAAAAAGACCAACAAAAATGTTCATTTAAATCAGTATTATGCTCCTTCTGTTAGTGAGATTATTTAAAAAAGTTTCATTTATAAATTAATTTTTTATTTCTTACATTTTTATATTTACTTTTTTTCTTTTAGTGGTATTACTTCAGATTTTTTTCAGAATAATGTTCCAGTGTTGTAGACCTTTTTTTTTTTGCTCTGCAGTGTAATATTTGTTCACTAATAGGACTAGTTATTTAATAGTTAATGCTAGTTAATAACACAGAATGACTTGCAGATTGATGTCATTTTACTACAGTTGTATACACATTTAGTGAAAGATACAAAATAAACAATTATTATACAAGATTAATATAGCACTAACAGTTTGCACAGTGCTTCAAAATATAAGGAAGACATTACAGTTACAATACAATTCAAAGCAAGATGGTTAAGAGGGCCCTGCCAACGAGAGCTACACTCTGAAAGATTTTTAGATTTCCTATACCCACCAATTGTTTATTCATTAGCTTTCTTTAATCAATTCTGCAGCATTTTAAAATATCAAAATAATAAGGAGGCTTCCATTGCTGACCTTCTTCTAAAAATGCAAATTACAATATCAGAGTAAGTGAAATGAAAACTCTCTAACGGATTCCCACATAACAGTAAAAACCCGACAGGGGTTCTAATCCTTCTCCAAAACTAAAAAAAAAAAAAAAAAAAAGAACATATACCAGACATACACTTTGAGGTTGAAATGGCTTATTAAATGAATGAAAAATTATTGTGCAACAACCCACAGAAACCATCTTGATGAAAAGTAAGATCTGACTGGATGCCATGGGATAGAGCACTCCCTATATCTTAATTCTTCTTTAGGGCCAGTTCACACCATATGCAGTTGTGATGCAGTCGATGTATTTGACTGCTACGGTCAAAATACATCACAATGCTTTCCTATGGGCTTTCTTGTGCTTTATTCACACCATTGCAGTGTGAATAAAGCACAAGAAAGCCCATAGGAAAACATTGTGATGTATATTGACTGCAGCAGTCAAATAAACTGACTGCATCACAACTGCATATGGTGTGAACTGGAAAAAAAGAAAACACTACTACCATATCAAAGATATTAACAATGCAAATGACTCATCATCACACTACTTCTATTGAGTTGTTTTATGTCAATATTTACAAGAATGCTTACTGCTTTAGGCTGCATTCACACCAGTGGCTGGGCTACAACGCATAGCCGCTGGTGTGCGTTAGCAGTCACAGTGCGCTGTTTAAATTTTTTTTAAAAAGGTGTCCTGAGTGACATTTCATTAAGTTCTGTGGACACAGCACACAGAACATGTGGCATGTACCGCCAGGGCCCGCTGTGCTGCAAAAAAGTACTGCATGCAGTACTTTTTTTTCAGAGCACACCACTGCAGCGCACGGCATAGAGGTGGTGTGAACTGTGCACATCCGTGACAAGACAGCTTGCATTGGGGCTGCGCTGACCATTTCTTCCAATGCATTCTGTGTGAATCAAGCTTTATAGTATACTTAAACCTCCAAACCCAAAAATGTAATGCATTACTGCTTACAAGTTCTTATAGGTGGTGGCCACATTCATTTTCTTTGTTCGGGCTTTTTCCTCTTTATATTTACATTGTGACTCTGCTTCTAACACACTTCATGTCCTAGAGTAACAACACTCACTGCACTCTAGCTAGGGTGAAGCAGCATTGTCATAGGCTGCTCTCCTGATCGGGGCCACAAACACCTCCCCCTCTCCTCACCTGCATTACATAAAGTGCAAATGTTTGTCGTTCACAGAAGATAGCTAGGGAAGCTAATAAAACATTTTGAGGTTCCAGTTCAATGCACAGGGCATAACAAATGCACTGGAATTCTGTACATGCAGAAAATGCACTCATACTGAAAAGAAGAATGCTTGCAGTGTACCTAGAAAAGAAGTGGGAAAGCTTGTTGTCACTGCCTCTGCTTTATCCATGCTTTCCATTTGCACACAAACTAGAGGGTGCATTTCAGGTATCATTGCTCTTTAACACTACACAAGATTATAGGGCCTGGGTCCTATTTGGGTGTATCTGGTATTATGTATTACAAGTTTTTACAATGTATTAATTCAATATACATATGAGTGAAAACAAATAATAAAACAAAGATTCATATTTTCCAGTTAGATGTGAAAATTGTATATACAAGTTGCTGCAGAATTAACTGACTGGCCAATACACTTAAAGACCTCATTCACACTGGGCATTCTGGGATTCCTGCGGCAAGAACCTATAGCTTCCTGCAGCAGGAATGTCAGGTGTCCTCCTTTAGATGTGACAGTGGACGCATCTTTAAGTAGCAGTAGGTATGTCATCGCATTTGATTAGGAATAGATCACTTTCATTAGATGCCTGATAAATGCACCAAACAACATGATCAATTCCAAACCGCATGTTATGGTATCACATACGATTACATGTGGACTAGTGTTTACAGATGTGGCAGCTGTCACCCAGTCATCAACTCAAATGGGTAAAGTGACCACATCTAAATGGGGACACCTGGTATTCCTACCGCAGGAATCCCCAGTGCCATCGAGACCTAAGGGGCTGATTAACCCAAGGGTTTGGATATCATTTATGGGGTTTATGGGGTCTATTCACTAAGCTGCCGAAGGATCTAGCCGTAGCTTCGGCTGAACCTTCGGCTAGCTTCGGCCCCAGGACCCTTTTGGTTCAGTAGAACCGAAGGGCTGCTGTACGGGCTATTCACTGTAGCCTGTAAAGCTCCCGAAGTTAGCCGAGCGGGTTGAAAGCCGAAGCTGGCCGAAGTGACTGGGGTGAAGCCGAAAACTGGCCAAATGGCCGGCCATTGGCAGGCCGACACCCTGCTTCTGACAGCTGCGAAGAGCCAGCCGTCATCTCACGGCTGGCTCCGGCCACTTTCAGAGAGATCAGCGTCCCTGGTTACCAGCTAACCAGGGACGCTGTCATTACACACTGAGAGCTGCCTCTCTGTGTTCTCAGTGTATAATGACAGATGGCGTTCCTGGTTACCTCGTAACCAGGAACGCCATCTGTCATTACTCTCCCGGACGCTCTGGGAGTCTAATACGACTCCCGACCGCCTGGGAGAGAAACACTTTCTCCCAGAAAGGTTCACTTTGCTCTATCGAGCAGAGTAAACCTTTCCCTGCTCCTTTTTTTTTTTCTTCTGACATCGGAGCCGTTGGCTGCCGTCAGAATAAAAAAAAGAAAATCACCATAGGAATGTATAGCTGGATTCCTATTGGCTATTTCAATTTGTAATAGCCAATAGCAAACCAGCTATTGCACCCGCCCACCGCTGCTGTCAATCAGCAGAGGGGGACCTGCAGTTCTCCATCAGGTCCCCCTCTGGTGATTGACAGCAGCAGAGGGTGGGTGCAATAGCTAGTTTGCTATTGGCTATTGCAAAGTGAAATAGCCAATAGGAATCTAGCTATGCATTCCTTTGGTGATTTTTTTTTATTCTGACGGCAGCAGAACTGCCCGGCCAATAGAAAAAAGTTGGGTGGAGCTAGCTGTCACTGCTAGCTCCGCCCAATCATTTTCTATTTTATGTTGTACTACTTTTTAAATTGTTTTTCTATTCTGCTCGGTACCACAGAGGTACCGAGCAGAACAGCCCAGCCGACTGCCCCTCAGCGGCATTCGGCTATTCACTCACTGCTGTTCAGCATCTATGAGAATAGGTCGAACAGGACCGAGTAACCGGCCGGAGGTTCGGCATAGCCGATCCAGATGTTGGATCGGCTGAGTCGAACTCCTTCTGCACTTCGGGTCAGCCGAACATGCTGAGCATGTTCGGCCGACCCGAAGCCACCCGATGTACGGCTGATTTCAGCCGATATACGGCTGGAATCAGCCTTACCAGCCTGAAGTGAATAGCCGAACAGCGCTCGGCTCACTTCGCTTTGGGTCGGTTAGTCACTCGGCTGCCTACGGCAGCTTAGTGAATAGACCCCTATATCTATATACAGTATATATAGCTAGGCAGAGCATCGGAAATTCCTATGCTCCTCAGCACCATCTAGTGGCAGTAGTGATGTGAGAATGACATCCTCCTAGCTATATGAAGTCATAGCTATATAAATCAAAGCCTCTTGACAAAGGAGGTGAACCTCTGAAACATGTTGCCTAGCAACACCTGACGACCCGGAAGTAGTCAGCAGCTGTGACCTCGCCTTGAGGAGAACCAGCTACAGCAGTGCTCAGCCACTGGATCAGATCTGTGTCTTTCAGCACAGGTGTTCTGGAATCTTTCTGGACTGGACTCTGCTATCTTCATGTGCCATCTATCCTGATAACAATCTTGGACCAGCAACTGAGATTGGACTTTCATCTGATGTGTCACAGGTGAGATGTTTTTAAATATCCTGTAAGTGCTTTACTTTTAACCTTTATTAAACAGTCACTTTTATACTGCACCTAGATCTGTGCACCGGTTTTGTATGTTTTCTTCACAGTGCTGTGTACAAATAGGCTACCTCTAATGATGGTTTTCCTAGGTCCAGATGGCTGCTGTGCAAGGTAAA